GAGGAAGGGAGAGGGAGAGAGAAACATCAATGATGAGAGTCATTGATCGGCTGCCTCCTGCAGGCCCCCGACTGGGGATCGAGCCCACAACCTGGGCACGTGCCCCAACCGGGAATCGAACTGCGACGTCCTCGTTCATAGGTCGATGCTCAGCCGCTGAGCCAGCCACGTCTCCCACGATCAGTGGACCCGTGGCGAGTGGCTGCCGGGTTGGCAGGCACAGGTGCCCAGAGCCCGCTGTCACCCGAGTGGGCGGGAGCGAGCCACCAGGAGCTCACACACAGCTCGGTGGCCTGGTCCCTGCAGGCCTGGGAACAGGAGCCCACAGAAAACCCACCCAGCAGGCCTGGGCCGCACCGGGTCCACATCACGGGGTAACCCTCTGACTGGCACACCAACCCCGGTACCAGCGTCTACCCTGGTGTGGGCTTAGACGGCATGGTTTCCGGTCAAGTGATCCATGTTCTATCTGGGAGGAAGGAAGGGTAAACCCTGGCCTTGGGACGGGGATGAGAAGTGTCCCGGCTGTGGGCCCTCGGTCCTCAGAGGAGGTTCCAGAGCAAGGGCTCTGCCCCCAGGCTGAGGGTCAGGGAGCGGACCCCAGCGTCTGAACCTGGGCCCGTCGTTAGAGGTGGCGGAGGGGTGACCCCTGCCCGCCTCGCTCCACCTCTCTTCCCTCCAGATGAGAGTGAATTCTAAGAAGAAACTCCTCCTGCTGGTCTTGTCTGTCCTGTCGTTCCTGTGGGTGGGGCGCTATCTCAGGTAAACAGGAAGTGCCCTCGGACTGGCGGACATCCTCGGACCCGTGCTCCCCGCAGAAGAGGCTCCTCTCTAGAGGAACCTGTGCTGTGAAGACCCACAAGCTGGGGAGCAAAACCGCAGGAGCTGAGCGGTTCCCACAGATGGAGCAGGGAGAACAGAAAAGCAAAGAGAGAATCCCAGGGACACCCAGCGTGTGTGTGTACAAGTGTGTGCACACCCATGTACACAAGCATGTGTGTATGTGTACATGTGGCTCTGTGTGTACACGTGTGTGTGCTCACGTGCATGTGCATGCCTATGGGCACTTGTGCCCTTGTGTGCATGTGTGTACGTGTGCGTGCATGTGTGTGCATGCATTGTGTGCATGTCTGCACATGTGTGCGTGTGTGCGTGTGTGTGCGTGCTCACACGCATGTGCATGCCCATGGGCACTTGTGCCCTTGCGTGCGTGTGTGTACACGCGTGTGCATGTGAATGTGTGTGTGTGTGCGTAGCAGGAAAGAGACAGGACACGAGAGGGCAGCATTGCATAAGCTTTAGTGAACAGCAGCTCCCTGGAGACAGTGGGGACAGGGCTGTCCCTCTGCTGGCGTCACCAGCAGCTAGGAGGGCGTCTGTGGCTCAGAGACGAAGGGCAGGGAGCCTCCTGGTTTGCAAGCTCTGTGGTGGGCAGACATGGGTGCAGTTTTGTGTGAAGAAGGCTGACCTCAGGCTCATTGGGCCTGGGTTGGAAACAGCTGGGTGTGTAGAATGGGGTTTGGGCTGAGTCTGGCCCAGAGGAGAGGAGGGGGCATGAGAGGAGGGGGCCTGGGAGCCACGGACACGTGGAACAGTCCCACTGGGTCTCACCGGCCCAGCCCCTCCTTCCCCGGGACCAGGCTGACTGCTGTGGCTCAAGGTCTCAGGTCAGGACCCCCACCCACCGTGATTCTACTCACCAGCCCTTCCCCAGGACCCCAGGCGTGAGCAGCACCAACCTTCTAAAAGAAGGGAGACTGTCTCATCCTGGGGACCCTGTGACGACACACCTGTGACAAAGGACGCTTCTGATAATGTCAGAACAGATGCCCCCTCAGAGCTAGCTCCTGTGTTCACAAAATGCCCCAGGAGGGCGTTGCCCAAGGAGCTCGATGACAGATTAACTCGAACGCACAGTAAACGCCACCTTTATGCAGGCACATAGCAAAGCGGCTCCTGGGGGGGAGGAGTGAATTAAATCTGCGTTTCATCCTGCCACGCGCCCTCTAATCTGCTGTTGGGGTTTTTCGCCCTCCTCCTCGCCCCCTGCCTCTGGCCATCACCTCCTTACCCTGACCCTTCCCTGACCACCTGTCCCGTCCAGACCAGGTGAGCTACCTTCTCTCCAAGGGGCTCCCCCTGGCCCCAGTTGAGGTGAACGTGCCACATATGCTCCCAGAAGCCCCGTTAGCGCCCACCTCTGGGGCCACTCGGGCTCCTCCGAGTCGGCGTCCCCAGGGCAGGGGCTGGGCTGTACCCGCACAGCGGTAGACACAGCGCCAAGCAGCCTGCCAGGCCACGGGCCCGGCAAACATCTGCTGAACGAATGACGGCGGCTAACTCAGTTTTCCCTCTGCACCCAGGAATCAAGAAGACCTTCGGCTCTCAGACTGGTTTGATCCCAGGTAAGAACAGGACATCTGCGCTCTCACACACACACACACACACACACACACACACACACACGGTGCCACTCAGCGTGGCGTGATAGGGTCATTCCCCCCATCCTAGGATCTCCTACGTGGACAATCAAGTCATTGACAAATAGGGGCCGTATCATTTTTTCCTTTCCAAGCCAATGCCCGTAATTTCCTTTTCTTGTCTTATTGCTGTGGCTAGCGAGCCTCTGGCCCAGTTGAGTAAGGGTTGGTGAGAGGGGCTCCCCTGCCTTGTCCCCGATCAACGCAGGGCCCGCTCACTGCAGCCGTGTCTCGTCCGCTCCACAGAAAACGGCCCGATGTGGTGACGACCACGGACTGGCTGGCCCCTATCCTCTGGGAAGGCACCTTTGACAGGCAGGTCCTGCAGAGACACTACCAGAGGCAGAACCTCACCGTGGGCCTGGCCGTCTTTGCCTCCGGCAGGTAGGGCCCACTCACCGTTGCCCTTTTCCACGTAAAATCCAAGGAGCACAGCACCCACGGCNCACACACACACACACACACACACACACACA